AACATAAACATAAAAAAGACCAAAGGTACAAGTTCAACAAGGGTTGGTTCTCATTGTTCAAAACCCATTTTTCACCGTTAAAAAGCCAAAATGATAAAAGATTGGGTTTTGAGCGTTAAAAAATTCTGTTTTGAACGATGAAAATTGGGTTTTTAACGGTGAAAAATGGGTTTTGAACGATGAAAACTGACCCGATGAAGCCTTGTTAAACTTGTACCTTTGGTCTCTCGTATAAACACGATTTGCAAACATGTAGACAGGAAGTCAGTTGAGATCTGTACATTTCAATGATTAAATGAGTATATTTGAGTTTCTACGCACCCCTCCCACTCCTGCAGCTGCCAGTAGAGGGTTGGCTATAGGTGCGGGGGTGGGGAGGAGAGCGCTGGCCGCAGGTGCCCCACCCCCGGGGATCATACCAGCCACTGCATTAGCCGGAGCTGCCAACTGAAGGGCTTTAGCTTCATCTGGAATGACGCCTGTGGAACAATGCAACAGCACCCCCTGTCAGCACCTGTTAGAACTGCACTAGGCTCTTGATGTCATAGTACTCAATCAATCTAGTACTGGATAAAAAAAAAATATTGACAATACTTCTGGACTTCTATCATTCTTCTTCAGCTTGACTAGAATGAACTGACTGGACTAGTCAACACCTTTCATACAAGGAAATGGTTTTTTCCAAGTGTTTGCAGTGTCTGTCTATCATCAAGACACTGCAATGGTGTGCAACAGTATTGTTTCAACCACAAACTGATAACACATTGAAGCCCTTCTGTGTGTTCAACACAAGAAATTGGGAACTTAGGAAATATTGATCCTGTGAAATATTGTTTCCTGCAGTTTGAGGGGCAAATTTTGCTGCATCTTTCTAGGCCAATTTTTGTCAAGCATGAGTGGCAAAATTCTCAAATTGATGGATGCCTAATACAGGGCTTGAAATACTGGGTGCATGTGCACCTTAGTCAGTTACGTACTGTACCCAAAATTGGAGTTGTTCACCCAATTTTTTTTCTCTCCCAAGTATTGTTGTAGGTATTTTTGTACATGTACATATCAAATGTATAATAGTATACAAGATATTCTTGACATCTAACTTTTCTAAGTGTCAGAAAAATAATAAAGCCTTTGTCGTAGTACTAGTCTAAGACTTTAAAGTTAGCCCTCATCTCAAATTTAAGATAGGAAGAGGAGCAGTAAGATTTGTAATTAAGTTTTGTTTTATATGGTGCGGCCAAAAAAATTTTTGTGCGCCTAATTTTTTAGGTTGGGTGCACCAGTGCACCTATTCCCAAATATGAATTTCAAGCCCTGCTGATAGCACGTGTATATTACAGCTGATCATGATTGTGTTACGACAAATATGTTTGTTTCTTTTCTGGTTATGTGAAACAAACAAACAAACATACGTACCATCCTGACAGGGAACCACGATGAGTGCCCTGTCTATGAACACGGTGTTGGTGAGGTGCTGCGCTACGCCACAGTTGGTCGGGTCGTCATACTTCACGTAACACACCTTGGAAGTCACCGGCACTGAGATATCCCTAACACAGTAAGAGACAAATACTGACATCAGGGTGCAAGATTCAACACAAGTACTCATGCCACACTATTAGAACTCAGTCCTGGTTTACACGTGCATCGTTTATATGTGTCACGCATGGAAAGACGCGCGCGCGGCACCACACTGCACACAACAGATTTCTTCAGCGTGTTAAACAACCTGCGCCACCGCCACACTGCGATTTTCCTGTGCCACAGAAAAAGAATGCGCGGCGGTGGCGGGCCTATTCAGGGAGGGTCCCCGACAACTAAATTTTGAGAGTCGGTAACGTATTACGCTACAGTAGTGATTACGCTAAATGCGACTTTACGATAAATTCCAAGTGGTTACAACGCATTTCGTGGAATTAAAACGCGAATTACGCTCTAGGCAAAATGTGCCGATTACGCTCTACGTTGAATTAGACTGGTTCATCTATGCTCTACATAGAATTTTAACGGCCGATTATGCTCAACGGAAAAGGGCATGCAGGCCCCCTTTCAGCATAATTTGGAATACCGGTGCTCCTCTATTTTCACCACTGATGAAATCTCGTTTTGAATACTGAATCAGCACTGAAACACAGTGTGGAAGGCGTGGCTTTTGTAGTCTTGACACACCGTATGATCTGCTTGGAGATACTAGTAACGTTACATGTGTCATGTTTGGTTGGCCTTCCAGAAAATATCTGCCTGATAAATAATTTATCATCCTGATTTGCTAGCATTAGCACTTAGCAGTAACAAACAAATGAAAATCCTGTCTAGGAAAAATGTTCATGGCTATCGTGCAAATGTAAAATCCTTAATAATTTTCACACAATTGTAAGAAATTTGTAGAGAAATAATAAATTAGATTTAGAATATTTTGTGCAACTCGTGTATGAAAATTATTAACGTTATCTGACTGTATTACTTGCTAAAGATTTAGAAAAAACAACATATGCAATTAGGAAAACGAACAGAGAAAAGCAGGCTAAAAAGGATAGACAGACCGAGCACTTCCATTCCGGGAAGGAGCTATAAATAAACCGGTAAAAAATGCGGGTCTATCGACCCCCAAGCGAGCAAGGCTGAAACACACTTACTCTGGGTACAGTTTGATCTCGTCAATTTTGCCCAGGAAACTGAACAACGTTTGCATCTGCTCCTTGGTGGCGGCCGGCGCCACGTTGGTCACCTGGATCACCTTAGTCTGCGCCATCCTAGGGGGAAAACGCGCCAAAATTACGGGAAAAATCGCTCTTTTCTCTAGACAGAATCGCTCGCCATGTCCGAAAATGGCGTCGTCCTCACGTTCCAAAACTACCCACAATGCACTAATAGAGGGATCATCCATCTCTCATTCCTTAGTCTGCATTAATCAAAGAAACATTTATTATTGTGTAAAAGTTGCTAATTATATCTTAAATTGTTGTAAGTGAAAATGAAATCAGTTCACTTTTTTGTAAAATTCTAAGGTAATTTCAACCACATTTAGACCCTTAAGCTAGAATATCACGAACCCTCCCTAAAAAGTCGTGATGCATTTTGGGTCAAAATTTGCATCACACTTCAACTTCCGCCCTCAACATGGCGGTGTCAGGGAGCGTTTTCTCACTCCTCCTGTTGTGTTTCCCCCTGTGTTTGGCGCAGTTCCGCAGCGTCCATGACATGATCTACGTGAACATCACGGCCCAGGCGCCGTGTGTCCGTCTGATGAACGCCACGCACCAGATCGGCTGTACGTCGGCCGTGAGCGGGAATGTAGGAGTGCTCCACTACTGTGCTGAACAGGTAAACCTCACACAGACTGAGTCATAAACTAATTAAAATGTCTCTTCTACCAGCGGATATGATATTTTTGGAGAGAAAGATCACCGCTTTCCTTCTGACCCGTTTTTGTCAAAGCCGGTTGATTTTTACCTCCCAGTACGGTTTGTCTAGTATTATATCGTTGGCTAATGAAATTTTCTTGCCACAACAAAAGGAACAAGAAGTCTGAGATTCCAAACCTCCAGGAAGTGTGTAATGCGTCATGTTCTTCACTGCTGACAATTTTAGACATCACATTAGCAAAAATGTTACAAGTAATGCTACAAAACTTAAAAGTTGGGTCATATCACAATTTATAATAAATGACCTAATGTTTATTCAAATAAATTCTGGTAACCCCCAGATACTCCTGAAAGTCGTTTGGTAACCCTACAGCTTACGCCTACAAGCACGTCGGCAGAACATACTGGGTCTGCGCAGAACCCTGTATTTTCACGGTTTTCGGTGGATTTTTGGTCAACGTTGCATTAGAATTTGGCCTGTTGCAGAGGATATATATTCTGACATAACTATTGGAAACTTAACTGCAGACGAGATGTTAATATGCCCAAGTAGTGAAGTACGACCTTATATGAGACGTTCTGCCGAAGTGCTATGTACAATACATTACGGGTTGTGCGCAGGTGCAGTACGTTCTGCCAACGTGCTACTCCTACAGTGAAACAGCTGTTTATAGATAAAACCACACTGCATACAGCACGGGAGGGGGGGGATTTTATTACAATACCTGAAGATACAGATACATAAATAATATTCATACGGTATACCAAGAATCAAAGAAATCCATCAAACCAACTGTGATTTAAACATACATGTAGCTGTGAAGTTCAGTGAACAATCAGTCACGACCAAAAACAGTACCTTTGCCTCAGAAAGGTATCTCTGTCTTCGGAGGTAAAATTTTGTCATTATAACTTTGTCTTATATGATGAACTAATATATCTTATATGATGAACTTTGTCTTATTGTTATAGTTACACAGTGAAGTAACATATGTCTTACGCCAAAAAACAGTTACTCAAGCAACTGGATATGATTTTGAAAACGTCAGACGTTTCAGCTAGTATCCACTAGCTTTCGTCAGTGACTGAGAGACCAGAGGGGAAAGCAGGTTTTTAAGTACAACCTGTTTATTGATATGCAAATAAAGTGAAGACAAATTTTTGGAAGTCGAAAAAGGAACAAAAGTTAGACAAGTCAAGACAAAATGATGCAAATTAGTCTGACAGCTCCTGTTATACAGAACAGGAGCTTAAGTGTTGTCTGTCCTCGGGGCTGGGAGTGCCAAATCCCAAGTGCCGGAAAGATCGACTCGTAGCCCCCCTTCCCTGTTGAGGGTGGGGTTGTACATTCTTTCATATATTGCCTCTTTGACACCCCGTTCCCACCAGCGTGTTTCGCGGTCTAAGATATCCGTGGACTTTGAAAGAGTGACCCTGGTTGTGTTGTAGGTGGTGGAAAATAGCTGAGGAGTAGCCGTTGGCACTAGGTCGGCAATGTTCTTTGTATCTTACTTTGAGCGGTCGACTTGTCTCTCCAATGTAGGTGTTGTTACAATTGGGCTCCTCACATTTGAGTCTGTAAATAACATTCGCCTTGGTACCTTTGTGAGGTCGGTCCTTAGGGTGTACCAGTCTTTGTCTGAGGGTTGAGTGAGGTTTGAAGTTAGTGGCTATGTTGAAGTTTTGGAAGATCCGTCGGAGTTTCTCAGATACTCCTTGGACATACGGAATAGTGATGTTGGCCTTGTTTTTGTTGGTCAATGGTTTGCACTTCTGGGTTTTCTTAGACTGATCTGAAGGTTTGAGCGCTTTGTTGAAAGTCCAGTTTTGGTAGCCACATTTAGCCAGGGCACCTCGGAGGTGTCTATGTTCGTCCGTTTTGGCTTGGTCTGAAGTGATAATGTTGTCTGCACGATGGAAGAGAGTTTTGATCACTGCTAGT